TGACCAAGCAAACTTGTAGATGATGAGTAGTCATCGTCGTCATCTTCAAGTTCAGTTGCTGCAATTGATGTCACGTATCCAGCAAATCTGCTGTCACTTCCACCATAAATTTCCTGGTCATGATAACCTGTAGAATCAAGGCCCACTCCTTGAGCTTCATCAAGAGCTGCCTTCTTGCCTTGAATTTCTCGAATCTGTGCTTCAATATCTTCGTGAGTCTTGGCGATCTTCGCCATTTTGTCCACTCGAACACACAGACGGAACTGGGGCTTCCAAGAACTTCCTACCTACTTACTCTTATGTGTCCTACACCCGTTACCATCCAGTGCATCTTTCGCCTGGCAGTCATTAGTCTCTTCATCCTTATTATTGGTATTAGGCTTGGTAGGACTACACTCCCCCCCCCCCAACTAATCCACCAGGAAACATAGAAGACCCTGGTGACTTGTCCCTTTCATTCTCCCACTATCAAGTTTTGTTACTCAGACTGTCTTTCCTTTTAAAATTCTCATGATTAACATTTGCCTGATTGTAGTACTCTTAGTTGCCATCAGTCAAAAGAAAGTAATTGGGTAGATTGGTATAATAAGATTATTCCCTGGTGAGTCCAAAATTCCTGCCCTGTTAACTTGTTAGTACATTTATTTTGTCATCCAATCACATTTCCTGCTAAGCCTTCATTCTCACTTATGCAGGCAACAGGGTTGCCACTGGCAACAGCAGTAACTGGCTAAAAATTCAGACATAGTAAGGAGAGTTTTGATTCCCTTCAAACTTGCCCATACCTTTTGCCTGGCTTTCCTACCTCACTGCCTCTACTTTGCAGAATTTAACTACTTCCTTGTTGCAGTCCTTAGCCAAAACAGCCCTGATTCTCTTCCTTGAACAATACCCAGAATAGGACCACTCCCTGTTCCTACATTTGGGCAAAATAATGTAGAAATCAAACAAAAATCTTCAGTCTAGGCAGGGTCACCCCTGTCCTGCCTCCTCCCAAAATTTCCAGAACTTGATAAATGAAAACATACCTTTACAAACTGAATGGGTATCCTAACAAATGAATAAATATAGCCCCACACCTTAGGCCAGGTTATTAAGTGTTTGCAGTTTTTATCTTGGAGAAAAGTAGGGTATGTACTCCCTACTCAGAGTAAAGCCTTCCAGAATATTTGGAACTGCTTTATTCATAATCTTACTAGGGCTCAAAGGATATGACCTGCAATGTGTTTGGGCCTAGAAATAAAAATCTTATTTCTGAACTCACCTGAGCCTAAAAAAATAAAAATTTTCTGTCTAATTCTGATTGAGAAAATCCTGTATCAATGTTATATTTCACAAAATGTCTCTCATTTGTAACATGTAATAATTTAGTTGCCTAAAGAAAATGGGTCTTTATCAAAAAAAAATTCTTACCTTTTAAAACTTTCTAATCAGTTTGGTGAGTAAATGGTTAACTGTAATCCTGTTTTGTAAGAAGTAAATTTTAGGGAGTAAGAGAAATTAGACGGAAAGAAAAATGGCATTGTATAAGGAAAGAATATTGTGTGATAAATTTATACTGAAATAGAATAGTTGTTTTAAAAAAAAGTAAAAGGCAAAACAAAAGTTAAAAATGGATTTAAAATGTTTTTAGATTGTCTGTACAGGTAAAATAAAGCTCATAAAAAAGATTTTATGAAAAAGTTTATATGTAATCCAGTTGACTATGTATTTCCTTTAAAATCTTTTAGCTTGTAATCTTGTTTGAATAGATGTTTTAAGCCTTTGATATTTGACAAACCTTCCAAAACCAAAACTCTAAATTTAGGGCTTGATGCCCATAGCAAAGTGGTTGTGGTGCTGGCCACATGAACCGAAACTGGTAGGTTCTGAACCTGAAAAAACAAATTAGACTTATTAGATTTATTAAAAGTGTATAGGAAACATTGTCAAATATAAAATGGTAATTAATTTTGTGTAATATTACACAAAATATATATAAATATATATATGATTTATATATATATCATATATATATGATTTATATATATATCATATATATA